TTTACTGCTATTAGTAGTGCTATTGTTGCTGTGTAAATGAGATAAGCATAGGACTCTATTTCTATGAATTGTACAGCTATTATTACTAACGGCAGAGAAATGCAGAATACTGCTAACTGTTGTATTAAAAAGTGTGACCACTTTCCTCCAACAGATGAATATTGGACAGTTATACCAATAGCAAACAGGGCAATTACATTAATAATTAATAACCAACAAATGTTTTTCAATTTTTATCTGTAATAAAATTTTCTACCTTGTAGTATAATAAAAAAATCAGGAAAAAGGGATCATTGAAATAGCAAGAAATTTCTAATTCAAAAATTTTAGTCTATTAGTAAATAAAAGGTGATATAATAATATGTTGACTTGATATAAGTAATATTTAAAAGTTAATATACTATTGTTTATTTAATGGAGGTGATTATGAGTTTAGGGCCATGGCAATTATTTTTAGTCTTAATAATAATCCTAGTCCTTTTTGGCGCAGGCAGGTTGCCACAAGTTATGTCTGATTTGGGCAAAGGTATAAAAAATCTTAAGCAGGAGCTTAAGGATTCAGAGAAGTTATCATCAAATGAACCAGATCGTTAGCTTCTCTTCTGTTCTATGACACGTACTTCTAGGAGTACGTGTTGTACAATCATTTTTAGCTATTAACACAATTATATATGTATAGAGTATTAATTTTATTATTCGTAGTATTTTCATTTAAGGTATTTGCAGCCAATATCAAAATTGTTGCTGATGTAAATAATACACCAATTTCAAGTTTAGATATTCAAAAACGCATTAAATTAACAACTGCGTTATTTGGAGCTCCTTCAAAAGACTTAGAATCTCAGGTCCTAAAACAGCTAGTAGATGAAGTAATTATTGTCAATGAATCGGAGAGGTTAAATATAAAACTAGATAATAAAGAGTTAAGCAAAGCTGTTACGTCATTTTTTACTCAGGGTCTTGGAGTAAAAGAAAATGACATTGATCAATATGTTAAAAAGCATGGCATAGGTCTCACTTCCTTAACCCAACAAATAAAATGCGAACTGCTGTGGAATAAAATTATAGGAATTAGAGTTGTACCGTTTATTAATGGAATCAGTGATAGAGAAGTAGATGATAAAAAAGCGCAAATAGAAAAATCTGATTATCTTATTACATTTATAGAAGAGGGTAATCATACTCCAAAAAAGACAACTGTTAGCTTAAATCAGCTTCAAGGTGATTTAAAAAGGGTTTTAGAAAAATTAAATATAGGGGAGGTTGCTAATTTTGGTAAAGGCACTATAAAAGTGCTTGATAAGGTGCAAGTTAGCTACGAATTATTAAATAGTACTTTAAGTTTAAAACATGCTACAGTTAAAGATTTAGAAAAAAAACAACGCTTGGATTTTAGTACATTATCAAATGTCAAAGAACTTACTGTTAAAATGAGAGATCTTAGCCCTGGGCTACAAATTCTACTTAGTAAAACCAATATAAATGAAATAGTGGAGTTTAGAGAAAGTGATGTTGTGAACTTAATTATGTTATGTGATGTCAAAAGCAATCCTGTTGATACAGAGGCAATCAAACAACAGATATACGAGCAGAAAATTATTGCACAAAGTAATTTACTGTTTGATGAAATGCGTAAAAATGCAGTTATCAATTATTTGAAAGCAAATTAATCCCTGACGATTTACTTATAATAAAAATTTCTACCATTGAAATTACAATCTACCACTGCTCACTTGATGCTTAGAAAAAAAGTAGCCTACTACAAGAGAAGAATTAGCCTATAGCTAATAACAATTATAAGTTTGTCATTACCTCAAGCACTTTTCTACCGATTACTGCAGGAGTTTCTGCAATTACGATGCCGCTGCTTTGCATGACCTCAAGCTTTGCGCCAGCGCTTCCACCACTGGAAGAAATAATTGCTCCAGCGTGACCCATGCGTCTTCCAGGAGGTGCTGTCTGCCCTGCTACAAATCCAACAATTGGTTTCTTAACTTTTTCTGTCTTTATAAAATGCGCCACATCCTCTTCTTCACTTCCACCTATTTCTCCAATAATTACTATACCATGAGTGTCGTCATCTTTGAGGAATAGTTCCATGCAGTCAACAAAGGTCATGCCATGAACAGGATCTCCTCCTATTCCTATACACGTAGACTGACCAAGACCAACAGCGGTTGTCTGAGCAACTGCTTCATAAGTCAAAGTTCCAGAACGAGACATGATCCCTATATGCCCGCGTTTATGAATATGTCCAGGCATAATTCCTATTTTACATTCTTCGGGCGTAATAATTCCTGGACAGTTTGGACCAATTAATCGACTTTTTGAGCCAGTAAGTGCACGCTTAACTTTCACCATGTCCAATATAGGAATGCCTTCTGTGATGCAAACTATTAGTTCTATTTTTGCATCTATCGCTTCAAGTATTGCATCTGCAGCAAATTTAGCTGGAACATATATCACAGTTGCATTTGCTGCCGTTTTTTCTTTAGCTTCCGCTACAGTATTAAAAACCGGCAAATTGAGGTGAGTGCTTCCACCTTTTCCAGGGGTTACTCCTCCAACCATTTTAGTGCCATATGCAATTGCTTGCTCTGAGTGAAATGTACCTTGTGCACCAGTAAAACCCTGGCATATTAGTCTCGTATCTTTATTTACTAAAACTGACATATTTATTTCACCTCTCTTACTATCTTCTGTGCTGCTTCACCTAGCTCATCTGCAGCAATGATATTCAATCCTGATTTTTCTAAAATTTCCTTTCCTTCTTCAAAATTAGTGCCAGACAATCTAACTACTAAAGGAACATTGACGCTCATTTCCTTTGCGGCTTCAACAATGCCGTTTGCAATTATATCACAACGCATTATTCCACCAAATATGTTCACTAATATACCTTTTACTTTATTATCAGATAATATAATTTTAAATGCCTCAGTGACAGTTTCTTTACTTGCTCCACCACCAACATCTAAAAAATTAGCCGGCTCTGCTCCATAATATTTGATTATATCCATCGTAGCCATAGCAAGACCTGCTCCGTTTACCATACAGCCGATGTTGCCGTCCATTTTAATATAACTTAATCCGTATTTTGAAGCTTCTATTTCCTCTTTTACCTCTTCATTATAGTCACGTAATTCCGTGATTTCTGGGTGACGATACAAAGCATTATCATCAAAGTTCATTTTTGCATCTAGCGCAATAAAATCTCCAGATTCCGTCTCAACTAGCGGATTAATTTCAATTTGACTCGCATCAGTTGCAATGAATGCTTCATAAATGTTTTTTGCAACGCTTGCTATCTTCTCTATTTGCTCTGCACTTAAATTAAAATTTTTTAGGCTCGCAGAGAAATCGGCATCCGCATCTACTTTTACAATTTTGTCAGGGGAGTTTTTTGCTACTTCTTCAATATCCATCCCACCTTCTGAGGAAAATATGAATGTTGGTTTACTTAGCTTTGGGTCAACCACTAAGCTAAGATAATACTCCTTTTTTATATTTGAGCCCTCTTCGATGTATATTCTTCTCACTTGTTGTCCTTGTGGACCGGTTTGATGTGTTACTAAAGTAGAGCCAAGCATACCCTGTGCAAATTGTTTAGCTTCTTCAACAGATCTTGCAAGCTTAACTCCACCGGCCTTTCCTCTACCACCTGCATGAATTTGAGCTTTAACTACAAGTACGCCAGGTTTTAATTGACTCACTTGCGACTCTATTTCTTCCGCAGATACAGTAGAAAAGCCCATCGGTACTGGAACATTAAATTTACGCAGAACTTCCTTTGCTTGATATTCGTGAATATTCATAAAAACCTACAAACCATAACGCTGTCTTCTACATTCTTGCTGATATCTCTTTTTCCTTGCTTCAGCTTTCTTTTTAGTCCTTTTCTCGGATTTTTTTTCATGATACTGCTTTTTCATTTTGATTGCTCTTCCTTCCTTTTGAAGTGTTTTCTTTAATACCGGAAGTGCTCGGTCTACATCACCATAATGAACTGATACTTCTATCAAATTTCAACCTCCATAATTTAGTTAATTAAAAAACTTACTACTAAGTTAGATCTTATAAATTAGTAATTGTCAATAAATTTATAGCTACAATATTAACTATAATTCCTTAAAAAGATATGAAACACCAACTAATTTAAGAAAATCGGGGCGGAGAGATTTGAACTCCCGACCCCTTGGACCCAAACCAAGTGCGCTACCCAGGCTGCGCTACGCCCCGACCTTTATTATCACAATATCAAGAATTCACAAAAATGCAAGATTCATTTCAGAATTTTTGACTTAATACTACTATAAGTTTATATTCCATTTAATAACAAAATGCTTAGGCAAACTTCAAATGCGATAAATCTGAAAAGATGTTTACTGACGCAAACTTTTGTTAGTTATAACCACTGTGTTAGCAATCTTATCATGCCAAGTTTGACAGCGCTTACTAAAATGTGCCCACATAAAACCTAAAAATAGTGGAGCTATTGACAATATACAAGCAAAGAATCTCTTAATTGCCTGCTTTACGGTCATCTTTTCAAGAGTATCTGCATCAACTACCCTAAGCCCAAAGAGCCACTTTCCAGGTGTGGCAGCAAATCTTGACCACATATATACTACATAGCTGATAAGAGCAACAAGTTGAAGTATCTGATTCACAATAAGTAGTACCAAAAACTTCTGTTGCGCTTTTTCCTCTTCTGGAGATAAAGGTACCTGAATTGAGTACTTTGCAGCAACTTGATTGAGTATTTTACTATTTTCAGAATTGAAAAAGAAGTAACGTGCAATTTGATCAAAAAATAGTAAAAATATGACAACAATTATCATATCTATTAATATAGACATATAGCGTCTCATTCCTGTAACATAGCATATTCCTTTTTCATCTTTTTTTATTTTCTGAATACAACTTGAAGCAGAAAGGATAGAAAATAAGCGGTTAAAGAATCGATTTAACATAGACATACTTATTTAAATAGTTAAAAGTGCCCCTGGCCGGACTTGAACCAGCATGCTTTTGCAAGCAACAGATTTTGAGTCTGCCGTGTCTACCATTCCACCACAGGGGCTAAGATTTTAATGTATAAGTAACGCAAAATTAGTCAAGCTTTTTAAGACTTCCGGCTTATTATGAAACACAATATTATTATAAACGAAATAGATACGAGGTTAGTATGAATCTAAACATTTTTCGCAAAAAAGAAAAGACAAAATACTCTGCTCTACAGTTAATAACAGAGCCAAATTGGAGCAGACGTGACTATGCAAGTTTTGCCGATGAGGGATACATTAAAAATGTTATTGCTTTTCGTGCTATCAATATAATAGCAAGTGCTGCGTCTTCGGTTCCTTTTATTCTTCATCAGGAGGGGAAATCACAACTAAAAACTCATCCATTACTGAAGTTGCTTTATTCTCCAAATCCGATCACATCTAAATCTGAATTTATTGAAGGTATTGTAACTTATAGGCTTATTAGCGGCAATTCCTATGTATTAATGATTGAATCCAGTAATAACAAAAAACCGCCAACAGAGCTTTATCTTCTACGTCCAGATAGAGTTCAGATTGTTCCAGGAAAAGATAATGTTCCTTATATTTATCGCTACATTGTGAATAACAATAATTATGACTTTAAAGTAAATAAGTTAACAGGACGCTCAGCAGTGCTGCACTTAAAGGCTTTTAACCCTCTTAATGATTGGTATGGACTTTCACCAATAGAAGCAGCAGCGTATAGTATAGACCAGCACAATCAAGCCGGAGCGTGGAATCAAGCAATGCTGCAAAACGGAGCGCGTCCAAGCGGAGCAATAGTTGTTAAATCAGCAAAAGACGGAAGTGGTGGAAACTTGAGTCACGATCAGTATCAACGTTTGAAAATGCAGATAGATCAATATTACTCTGGTCCAGTAAATGCTGGGAGACCGATACTGCTCGAAGGCGGTTTAGAATGGAAGGAAATGAGCTTATCGCCAAGAGACATGGATTTTATTGATTCTAAACATAGCTCAGCACGTGATATTGCTTTAGCTTTCGGAGTACCTCCTCAATTGCTTGGTATACCAGGCGATAATACCTATAGTAACTTGGTTGAAGCACGCTTGTCTCTATGGGAGCAGACAGTTTTGCCTATATTGGAAAATATTATTTGTCACCTTAACTCCTGGCTTGTACCAAAGTTTGGTCAAGATTTACGTTTATCATATGATAAAGATGCAATAGAAATTTTGATGGAAAAGAGACAAAAACTCTGGAAATATGTAGAAAATGCAAGCTTTATGACGTTGAACGAAAAAAGAGAAGCATTTGGCCTGCCACCATTACCAAATGGTGAACTAGATCGAACTTTATAAAATTAACGCTAACGTTCAAAAACTTGACTTATCATCATTATATTGCTATACTTTTATGTAAACACTGAAAGACAGTTGTATTATATGTAAGACTTATACTAGAGGGGCAAATCTATGATAGGTGATCAAAAAAGTGGGAGTTTTAGTTCTACAGATTCAGGCTATGACAGTGATACAAATTTAGAAACTTCTAAGTCGAAAAATCACAACTATCTTGTTGCTTTCCTACGCGGCAATAAGCTACCTGATGGACGGGATAATGAAAGTGCGCTTAGCGGTAGGACTATGGCTCTTGATTTACCTAGAATGGGAGACGATCTTTTTGTGAATGGTAAAAAGTTAAACACAATCTATACATCAGAAGAATTAGAGATAAATACTGAAAATAGTAATTTACGTGAAATACTAGTAGAAAAATGGAAAAAAATATTCGAAAAATCCGGGTCACAAGTTCCAACAAGTGCTATTTTAGAAGAGCTGACCACCAGTTGTAATCAAGCAGGTTGGGTATCTTGCTTCCATTTGTTACTTTTCGGAATGTTCCATTCGCATGAACTAATATTCGGAATGTTCCATTCGCATGAACTAATATTATGTAAAAACGAAAGAGAAACAAAAATTACACTTAAAGATCCTAAAATTTTAGAGGTAACCCATATTTTTGATATACCGGTGTCAAAAGAAGGGAAAAGCCTAGTATGTCAACTTCATTGTGAGGTGACATTTACTATTAGTTCTGACGATCAAAATATGAATGTAAAATACGAAAATATTAAAACTTCAATTGAGATACCCGAAGAATTAAAGAAGTACAAAACCAGGGATGGAGGAAGATTAGCTGATGATCTTAAGGAATACTTTGATTATCCATTGCATGTAGCTGCAAGATATGGCGATGTGAATGTAATAAAAAGCTTACTTGAGAGTGAGGTCAATGTTAATGAAACTATCATAACAGAGGAGGGTAGAGATACTAAAGTTACTCCACTATACGAAGCAGCTAACAGTAATTACATAGAAGTTGCTGAGCTTTTAATAGGCAGAGATGCAGATGTTAACCGTTGCACTGCATATGGAAGTCCTTTAACGATTGCTATTTCAAAAGGAAATGGAGAAATGAGTAAGCTATTTTTAAGTAGCGGAGCAGATCCTTGGGTGGAAAATGACTTTCATGTAAATGCATTACATCTTGCAGCATATCATGGTCACTATAAAATAGCTTGTGACTTACTGAGTAAAATAGACAATGGTAGCAAAAAAAAGTATATTGAATCACAAAGTGACGATGGTGATACCCCTCTACGTTTTATAGCTGGCCTGGGGAAAATCAATGAAGGTCATAAAAAGCTTATAGAGTTGCTCATAAAAAGTGGAGCAGACCCATACTCAAGGGCAAATGGTGAATCAAAAAATCCTTCCTTTAATAGAAAGAGTGCAATAGAAATGGCAAAAGGAAAGGGAAACCAAGAATTTATAAGATGCATAAAGTCACTACAAATGATAGAAGCTGTAAAATGTAATGATTTAGAAAAAGTTAATAAGTTGATAAAAGGAGGAGCGGACCCACAGTTCCGAAATATAAATGGTGAAACAGCCTTGCATTATGCTGCTTATTATATTAATCCTAATATGATTTCTACTTTAATAGAAGCTGTACCAAAAAGGAAAAGAAAATCTTATGTTAACACACAGGATCAAAAAGGAGATACTCCATTACACTGTCTTGCTTGCTATATACCAACAGAAGGAGAATTTGAAAAGTATGCTAATGCTATTAGAATGCTACTTCAAAATGGAGCAGATCTATACGACTTATGCAATCATGAAAACGAATTTGCTCTCAATACTGCATTAAATCATAATAATTTAAAGTTTGCAGATTGTATAGGTTCATTTGAGCAAGAGCAAAAATACGAACGAAATAAGCTGATTAAAACTACTTGTTTATCAGTAGCTGGAACAATATTGTTGGGAGTTGCACTATCTGCACCATTATTTGTACCATTGCTAACAGCCAATACGATAATACTACCGACTTTTGTAGCTTGTTGTGCATTAGTTGGTATAGCGTGCATTTGCTGTGCTATCAGCACGAAATATTTTAACAAAAGTCCTGACACTTTACTGCAGAATCAGTTGCTTGATGCTAAATATAACAATAATCAGGCTCCAAGTTGATTTCTTAATTTATATATATACTATATAATAATAATTATTTACTATTAACATGAAGAGGCATACTTTAAATCGACAGGAATATAAAGATTTTGCTGCATTGTTTGCCCAATTTGGAATTGAGAAAGGCGATGTTGTTGATAAAGGTATTGAAGAAATCAACAAGATCTTTAATCAAAGACGCCGTAAATTGTTACTCGAGTGTCACCCAGACAAAACTGCTAATAAGAAAAGTAACGCAAAGATGTACGAAATTAATCCTGCTAAAAGCCATTTTGAAGCATTTATACTACGTCCATTGCAAGATGGTTTGAATGGCGTGAATAATTTGAGAAAAGAATTGCGGAAGACACTATGGAGTTTAAATTTTGAAGAATTACAGGAATATTTCTCTGAAAGTAGCAGAGTAAAGTTTTTACAAAAGGAGCAGTCAATAAGCACTGCCATAAGGTATTCTACGTACTCCAGTTCAGTTGGAGGGTGTTTAAGGTTAATATTTACCATTGCGTTTTTTGTTCAAAATGGTCTCTTAAGTAATATACCTATAGCACTAGGCTTTTTTCTTCCATTTATTTCAGAGATTATACTTGATAAAATTGCTACTGTTATTGAGAAAAATAACAAGCCACCTACTCAACAGTGCAAGGATTTTTCAGAAAAGGATAAAACTAAATTAAAGTGGGTGAAAAATATTCTTATAGTGCAAGATGTAATTGCCTACTCTTTAATGAGTTGTGGTATAGGACTTGATATAGCAGTTAATGGTTTTAGGGTGGTGAATTCTATGCTATTATGCAGTTCATTGCTTATGTTACCGCATCTGTTTTTATTTGTTGCTTCACCTGTCACTGAGTATTATCTAAAGAAAACAGCTATAGATTTAATTCAAGACCAATTTAAAGATGAAAGTAAGATTAAAGAAGGTGAAATCAATTATAGCACTCCATTAATAGGTCATAGAGCTATAGGGTGGGTAATCTAATCCATTTATTTTTGCGTACAGCAAGCTTTACAACTGTAGCCTAGAAAAGAGGGCTACAGTGGATTAAAGTGAAAAATTACTTCTTGTTATTTGTGCTATACTGAGTTAGCATTTGAGTATTAACCTAAAAAATTTATAATGAGTAACACTGTAGTTGTTGGTTTGCAATGGGGAGATGAAGGTAAGGGTAAAATAGTAGATTACCTTTCTGAAGATGCAGATGTGGTTGTTAGGTTCCAAGGTGGGAATAATGCTGGGCACACAATTGTGGTTGGTGATGAAGTATATAAGTTAAATCTCTTGCCTTCTGCTGTTCTGAGACCCAGCAAAATTTCCATTATAGGGAATGGGGTTGCTCTTGATCCATATGCTTTAGTTTCAGAAATTGAATCGTTACAGAGCAGAGGAATAAGCATAAATCCTGGCAATTTAATAATATCTGAAAATTGTCCTCTGATATTGAGTATACATAAATATAAGGAAAAGGCGTTTGAAGATCTAAATGGAAATCACAAAATTGGAACAACAAACAAGGGTATAGGTCCATGTTATGAAGACAAAGTAGGCAGAAGGGCAATACGTTTCTGTGACCTTGAAGATCAGAACGAGTTGAGCAAAAGAGTGGAAGTTCTTTTAAATTATCATAACATAATTAGGAAAGGGCTGGGTTATCCATTGATAACAAAAGAAGATATAATGAGAGAAATTNATTCAAGAAATCGCAGAAAAAGTTCTCCCTTATAAAAAACCGGTGTGGAAGGTACTAAATGATTTAGTGAGACAGGGTAAAAAAATAATATTTGAAGGTGCGCAAGGTACGTTTTTAGATATTGATTATGGAACATATCCATTTGTTACTTCGAGTAATACCATAGCAGCACAAGCGATAATAGGTTCGGGGTTGTCTTCTAGTATTGATGTTATCGGTGTAGCAAAAGCATACACAACAAGAGTTGGAAATGGATCGTTTCCTACTGAACAAAATAATGAAATAGGAGATAGTTTATTTACTGTTGGTAAAGAGTTGGGCACAGTTAGCAATAGAAGAAGAAGGTGTGGATGGTTTGATGCAGTTTTAGTACACCAAGCAGTAATGCTTTCTGGAGTTTCAAGTGTTATACTAACTAAATTAGATGTTCTTGACTCTTTTGATACAATCAAAATATGTACTGGGTATTATCATGACGGTAAAGAGTATGATTATTTACCAGCATCATGTGCAATACAAGAAAAGCTAGAGCCGATATATGAAGTGTTGCCTGGCTGGAAGGAGAACACTAAGGGCAAGCAAAATGCTGATGAATTACCTATTAATTTAATGAAGTATATAAATAGAATAGAAGAGTTTATAGGTGTACCCGTTCATTCAATTTCTACAGGTCCTAAAAGGGAAGACATTATTATACTTAAATGAAAAAGGTATCTAATAAACAACTTTTGGTATTTTAAACTCCACGTTTTCATTTATATCATTCTGCATAATTGAAACCTTGACGTCTGTAGTTGCTTTTAAGTTATTTATCAATTCATTAACTAATATATCAGGAGCAGAGGCTCCCGCAGTAATTCCTAATTTTTTTACGTCTTTTAACCAATTTCTATCTACACAACTGTGGTTATCAATTAAGTAAGCTCTTTTGCCTTGAGCGATACATAAATCTAACAAACGGTTTGAATTTGAGCTATTTTTACTGCCCATAATTAATACCATATCTACGATCTCAGCTAATTTTTTAACAGCATTTTGCCTATTCTGTGTTGCATAACATATATCCTTTAAATCAGGGCCTGAGATATTAGGAAATCTTGATTTTAGAACAGCTATAATTTCACGTGTATCATCGACACTCAGTGTAGTTTGTGTAACATAAGATAAATTATTCGGGTCTTTGACTTTACAAGCATATGCATCATGAACATTTTGCACTAAAACCACAGGATTATCTACCCTACCAATAATTCCTTTTATTTCTGGGTGATTTTCGTGTCCAATTAATATTAGTTCTTTTCCACTATCCTCATACTTTTTAGCTTCTCTATGTACTTTACTAACTAGTGGGCATGTTGCATCTATCACGTGAATATTCTTCCTTTTTGCTTCCTCTTCTACATTTTTTGGTATTCCATGAGCACTAAATACTAGTATTCCTCCATTATCTTTAATTTCGTCAATGCTATTGACAAAAATTACTCCTTGTTTCTTGAAATCTTCCACTATATACTTATTGTGCACAATTTCGTGTAATACATATACCTGACGCTTATTTTCGTGTTTTTTTAAGGTGATAGCTAATATGTCTACAGCTCTTTTTACTCCTGCACAAAAACCACGTGGTTCAGCTAAAATAATTTCCATTTTTTTAATTGTACTCCATTATTAAATATGCGAAAAAATAAACTTCGCTCACTATATTTTATAGTACCATTATTTATATTTTATATAATAATCATTTTTCGAGTTTCTTCCTTAACATTTGAACATCAAGAGACTTCAGAAAGCCTGGAAAAGAGTAATATAGCTCATAAACAACCTGATATTCTTGATAGGAACGGAGTAGTAATAGCAACAAATGTGCCGACGACTTCTCTTTATGTCAATCCGATAAAGATAAAAGATCCAAAAAGCATAGCAGAACAACTGTGTTACATATTCTACGATCTAAAATACGAAAAGTTATATAAGTTACTTACCTCAAGAAGAAAGTTTGTGTGGATAAAAAGACATTTAACTCCAAAGGAACTACTAGCAATTAAAAATACTGGTGTACCGGGAATAAATTTCTATGATGATGTAAAACGCATATATCCTTATAGCAACTTGTTTGCACATGTGCTTGGCTATACTGATGTAGATGGTAACGGTATTGCGGGAATGGAGGCATATATCAGTAGAAAACAAGAACGAGAGCCTGTAAAGTTGTCCCTAGATTTAAGAGTACAAGGCGTAGTACATGACGAGTTAACTAAAGTTATTGATAAGTACAACGCACTCGGTGGAGTTGGAATTGTTTTGAATGTGAAAAACAGTGAAGTAATTTCAATGGTGAGCCTTCCTGATTTCAATCCTAATATGATGAGTAAAGCAACAGGTATGCAAAAATTTAACCGGTCAACTCTTGGGGTATATGAAATGGGATCCGTGTTAAAGTTTTTTACAATGGCAGCAGCAATTGATGCAAAAGCTGTGACAATAAATAGTATATATGATGTATCACAACCTATTATTATCGGAAAGTACAAAATTTATGACTTTCATAAATCTGAGGCTGCGAAAATTACTGTGCAGGATATATTCGTTAGATCATCTAACATTGGTGCAGCAAAAATTGCTCTTGATTTAGGTATTGAANAATTGCTCTTGATTTAGGTATTGAAAAACAAGTTGAGTACTTTAGAGCAATGAAGTTTTTCTCTCCTTTAAAAATTGAGGTGCCAGAAAAGTCTTCACCAATAGTACCAAATAAATGGCGTGAAAGCACATTAATCACAGCTTCTTATGGATATGGGATTGCTCTTACTCCTATGCACATATTGCAAGCTGCGGCTGCGCTGGTCAATGATGGAATTTTTCATGATGCAACTTTAATTCAAAATAAAAAAAGTATAGGAGAACAAATAATTACTAGTAAAACTTCAAGTGAAATAATAAAGCTTCTACGTAAAGCAGTGACACATGGAACAGGGAGAAGAGCAAATATAAAAGCATATTCAGTGGGAGGTAAAACTGGATCAGCAGAAAAAGTTGTAAACGGTCAGTATAATAAAAATAGAAACATAGTATCATTTATAGGGCTACCAACTACATTAGACCCTAAGTATATCATATTAATTACTATTGATGATCCACAAGGCCTGCAATCCCACACAGGTGGAATAATTGCAGCCCCAGCAGTCAGAAACATTATCAACAGAATAGTATCAATACTAAATATTGCTCCAGAAATGTGACTTTACGCTTTCTTTATAAGGATTTCAAACGTGTGAGTTTGATTACTGTCTTGTACACTTTTATTTATAACAAGAGAACCTTCTTCTGTGATTTTACAATTCTCAGGATTCACATCCAAAAATACTTTACCATCTATGTTAAAGCGAACTGTTGAATTACAGAAATCCAATATACTAGTTTCAACTTTTTGTGTAACTTTCCCATCTTGCGAGGTCAAATAAAATGTCCAAATATTATTTGGATCGATATTTCCTTCGTAGATACTACATTCATTCTCGGTGCAGTGAGAACCTATAACTTCATAACCCTCGCTAGGTATTTCACAAAAAAAATTCCAAAAGTCATCCATATAAAACTCCCTAATACTTAATTTGAATAGAATATATATTACGTTAAAAAACTATTAAATTTAATAATGATTTTAGTAAGAAGATACAGATTATTAATAATTTGTCAAGAAGTTACTTGCGTAAGACTTAGGTAGCTTTTTAGCATCTTTTGGCATTTCAATTATATATTTAGCATTGCGTTTTTTTGCATAAGATATTGCTTTTTCAAGGGAATCAAACTTTAATATGATCTGTTTTCTTGGATCTTTTGAACCAATCCAACCCATTTTGGGATCAGTATAATAACAATTAGAGCCTTCAACTTCAAGGTGCCATAACTTTGTATTACCTAAACCAGATTGTGTTGCAGTTTTTACTGGCTTGTAAATCTTAAATATGTCAGTGCCCATAATTTCAAAAAATGGTTGCGGAGGTAGGATTCGAACCTACGACCTTCAGGTTATGAGCCTGACGAGCTACCGGACTGCTCCACCCCGCGTCATTATTTATTTAGTTATTATATATATAATTATACTAAAACACAAGAGTAATATGCGTACAAATTTATTAACCTTTTTTGGTGCTTATGTACGTGATAATATACGTGATGAGAAACACAACTTAATATTGTGGTTCCCTGTACTCCAATGTGTAGGAATCCTAATCTATTTTTCGTTAAATTCCGAGCCAAGTCTTGCAGTTACTATGCTAATCGTTTTTTCGGGGCTCTATTTATTCTTCATTTCATATAAAAAATACACAATATTAAGCATTATGTTGGTTGCATTGCTGATGGGCTTTACAGCCAGCAAATTCAAAACAGTTTGGGTAGATACTAAAGTTCTTGATAAGGAGATATATTTAAAAAATATCACTGCAACGATAAAAGATGTCAACGACAAGGGCACGTACAAACAATTTTTGCTGTATGAAATAAAAGGTACAAAATTCCAGCTAGATAACANAAACTGCCCCTTCAGAATATGCATATGACTTTGCAAGAATAGCATATTATCAAAGAATTAGTGCTACAGGCTTTGCAACAAGCAAGGTAACTTTATACAAAAAAACTAAAATCAAAAAGTTGCAAGAATATATAGAGTCTTTTCGTCAATATATTTATGAAAATCTACAATATAATATTAAGAGACCCAATGCAGATATTGTTTCCGCATTACTGATTGGAAAAAAAGATGGTATTGATCAAAAAACAATGGATGCAATACGTAATTCAGGTATAGCTCATTTATTTGCGATATCTGGCTTGCATTTATCTTTTATTGCGGGTTTGTTTTTTATGACGTTTCGTAATCTATTTGCGGTGTCTGAAACCTTGACTCTTAAATATAACACTAAAAAAATATCAGCATTTCTTACCATTCTGCCCACTACATTTTATTTATTGATTACAGGTGCACAAATCTCCGCTCAACGTGCTTATATCATGGTAATTTTAGTGCTGATTTCCGTAATGATAGAGAGAAAATACAGAGGTTTAATTGCGATAGCATTTGCTGCTTCGGTGATATTAATTATAGAGCCCGAATCAATTTTAAAGCCTGGCTTTCAGATGTCATTTTCTGCTGTACTGGCACTAATTTCCAGCTATCAGATTAATGCTAATAAGTTATTTAAGATAAAAATTCTCAGGTATTTTATATCAATAATGATTAGTTCAATAATAGCCAGCCTAGCAACCGTGCCGTATACTATGTACAATTTTAATTACTTTTCAATCAGTGGCATTATTACGAATTTAGTTGCAATACCAGTTGTAACTTTAGTCATAATTCCTTTAGGGATAATTTATATTATATTTATACCATTAGGCATTGAGAAGCTAGTAGTACCGCTAATAGAATATCCTATAGACGGTGTTTTGCAGGTAGTAAATGCAATTGCTGATCTAAAATATTTAGTAATTCCCATTCACACTTTTCCTGCTTTATCAATTATTGTGATAACATTTGGACTATTATGGCTTTGCCTATGGGAGCAAAATTGGCGCTTCTTTGGAATCTTTTTTATTGCATCTGGTGTTTTTTTAGGGGTGATACACAAAACCCCTGATATTTTAGTAAATGCTGACAATATTGCTATTAAAGAAAATAATAATTTATTATATTCTCTCACCAGAAAAACTAGAAACTTTGTTGTCAAGACATGGGCAAAGCAAAATGGGCAGAATGAAATTACAAGTCATACAAAATATAACAATAGAAATAAAAGATTAGAGTGTGGCAGTTATGGTTGTATATATAGCAAGGAAAATAGTGGGTTAGTGCTTCTAGCCTATCAGAATAAAGATATTGTAAAAAACTGTGATAGTGTTGATCTGATAATTCAGTTGAATAAATTTGACTATTCAGTTTGTGATTCTAAAATTATTAATTATACTGACTTAAAAGCTTATGGTACACATTTAATTTGGTTGGGGTATGATAATATCAAAATTAAAAAGACACGCTCCAATAGACCTTGGCATAAAAAGCTTGTATAATAGTAATAATTTAATATATAATAAATTAAGATTTAACATCTAGGTAAAATATGCTATCATCAAATAATACTAATACAATTCAGTTTAACCATAATTTTTTGGGTCTTAAAGATTTAACTGAAAAGCCTAGTGGAATCTTACGCTCTATAAGAAAGTATTCTGTAAACGGCACATTACCTGCTGCGTCTATTAGCTTATTAACAAATTTTGCTTTGGCTTCTATTGCTGCATTTATGATTACCACTGATGTTGGTATCGTAAATATTTTATTTTTGCCAAATATAAAATTGCCTTTTTTTATTGTTTTTAGTGTTTTTGCAGGAATTTGTGCTGTCGCTTTTGCTCTACAGTATATGAATACACAAAAGGTGGATAAAGCAAGAATAGATGAAAAAATTAGAGGTGGACAGGATAAAATAAGTCAAATTGCTAGTGAAGCAGAGAAGATTGAGATTATTATTCCTGGCAGTAAGCATTCAATATTTGTTCCGATTTCTGGAACACAATTAGGATCATTAGAAGATATAAAGCAAGAGAACACAACTAAAGTTGTTTTGCTTACTGCACCATATGCATTAAGTACATTGGTTGTAATGGGAGCATTGGTAAGTGCTGGCTTTGTTAATATTCAAAGTGGGGAAATATTTTTTGTTTTTTTTGTGCTAGCTATTAATGTTATTGGAGCATGTGTAACGTTAAACCAGCTGAAAAATAATGAAACAAATCATAAAAGTAACTCTATACAAAACCTTGGTGAATCGGATGCTATACCTTTTGCTAATATTTTTCTTCCGTTTTTTGGAAAAGGAGTTGTATTAGTAATGAAAGAAAGGTGTGTAAATAAGGCAAATGATCCGGTATCAAAAGCGCTGAAGATTTTAAATAATTTCACGGACAAAATTTGTGATATACTTGACAGACAATTAACTCAGGTTAATACATCGTTAGATGGAAAACTTTTAGGCCCTATGAGTGAAAAAATTGATGAAACGCTTGAACACTTAAAGGGCATTAAAGAAGGTTTAGTAGGTAGTATAGATGGATTATGTAAAGAGGTTTCAGTTATTTTAAGTAATGCTAAAAAACTTACGGAAGAAGTGAATGGGTTAAATATTAAAGGTATTGCAGAAAAAGTGCACTCTACTCTAGATACCTTAAAAAAGAAAGTAGAAAACTTTGAAGTTAATAGGCTCATAGGTTACTTTAATAGTAATAAGCAAACTACTAGCAGTAACAGTGAACCAAAAGAATTTTTAGGTATACTAGGAAATTTAACAAAACAACTAGAAAAAGTAAAAGAAGAGGTAAAAGAAGAGATCATGATGTTAAAGGGAGAGTTGCAAAATCAATCTGAGAGTGGGTATAACTCTTCTTATGATGATAATAATGATGATGAAAATCTAAAAAAATTGAGAGTAAATAGAGATAATCTATCTAAGGAAAACGAAAAATTAAAGCTGGAAAAGCAAATAAAGATACTTGAAAAAGAGAATAAAGAATTAAAGGAGGGCCATGTTGAACAAAAAGAACAGGATGGATGGATCAAAGCAATCAACGGTGAAGCAAGTAAGTTTCTAGGTTATTTATTACAGTCTATTGAACTTCAAATAAAGAATACTCAGGCAGAAACTAAAACAACATTGGATGCATTTAACAGTCAAGTAATAATTCATTGGAAAGATGGTTCTCAAACAATTTGCGATCTTAACAAGAAAGTAGATCCCCAAACTAGATTTAACGATGTAACGGAAATTATTCCAACATGGAAGGAAGTTACCGTGTTGGCTTAAATGTCTATAAGGCTAGATAGCTACATAGCACAGAAATGTAATATATCGCGCAGTAAGGCTCAGAAACTGATACAGAACAAACAAGTAAAATTGTTTGGTGAGTCCGTAATTGATAATGATCATGTGGTGAAGCCGGATCAGGAGTATACAGTACATTTTATTCAGCCTGAAGTATCTACATCTATTGAGCCAAATCTTGATATAAAACTCAATATTGTCTATGAAGATGAAGATATAATAATTCTCAATAAGCAAAGTGGATTAACTGTACATCCTGGTGCAGGGACAAATAATGATACTCTTTTAAATGCAGTAGTAGCTTATCTTCCCCACAATAATCCATATATTGTACACCGCCTTGATAAAGACACTAGCGGGCTGATGGTGGTTGCAAAAAATGAAAAATCTCATAGTTTTTTATCTGCATCGTTAGCAAAGCGCGAGATAAAGCGTGAATATTTGGCTGTAGTGTGGGGAACATTGTCCGTGCAGCAGGGAACAATAAAGACCAATATTGCTCCAAAACGCGGCAATAGAGAAATGATGTGCGTTACAAAAACTGTAGGCAAATTAGCAGTCACTCATTACTCAGTACAAAAATCTATCAAGCGAGCAAGTTTAGTCAAATGTATTTTAGAAACTGGGAGAACACACCAAATTCGCTTGCACATGAGTCATTTAGGTCATTCCATAGTTGGTGATCAAGTTTATGGCAAAAACAACAGTAAAAGTGTAAAATATGCTAAAGATTCTGATTTTATTTGTAATTTCAATAGGCAAGCTTTACATGCTTATAAATTGGGATTATATCATCCAATAAATAAGACATACATGGAATTTGAGTCTGACCTGCCACCGGATATGAAAACTCTGATTTGTGAATTTGAAAATATGTGTTAATTGTAAAATTTTATATTTTTTAAATAAAATTTCTTAACCTCTTGAATATTCCACAGTATTATATTCAATAATGTAATATTTAGGCCTATGCTCAATTTAGCTATTGAAACAAGTTGTGATGAAACTGCTGTAGCAATTGTAAGCAGTGATAAGCAAGTTCTTGCTCATGAAATTCTTTCCCAAACAGAACATAAAATGCGTGGTGGTGTGATACCTGAGTTAGCTTCACGTGCACATATGAATCATTTAAGTGGTTTAGTTAAAAGTGCTATGGAAAAATCTGGTCTTACTTTCAGTGATTTAGATGCA